GCGCGCTCTTCCCTGGAAGTGCACGCGAAAGCGAGGGAGGAAGGAGGAGGCGCCGGCCCTTGGCCCCGTGATCGAGACTTTCCTTCCCCTTTCTCGCGTGCAAACAAAACCTCACAGCTGTCGAGGCGCTGTCGACTCAGAGCGACCCTATAGGACAGGGTAGAGCTGCACCTGTGTCTTTACAGGAGTAGAAAGCGTCATCTTTCTCCCGCGGAGCGGCTGGTGAACTTGAACCGCCCACGTGGCAGTCAGCAGCCCGACTCGTTAGGCCTGCACGGCCATAGCTCAGGGAAGGCCTGTTTTGAGATTAGGAGAAGGCAAGTTGATTTCTGTCAGTGAAGTTGGACATTTAGACGCCACAAGCAGCCCTTGGCCTTACAGCAAGAAATTCATTCTCCAACCCCCACCTCCGGGGCTAGCTCTCATCGGTTAGGAATCCGTTCTTCAACTCTTCCCTTGCAAATTATAAGTGTGTTTGCACTTCCTTTTAAAATAGTTTTGTGGGTATATACATACATCACATATCATTCCATGTAATGGTACAATCACATTAAGAAGCATATGCAATCATCACAATCACTATCTTCTCCTACTCATAACTGGTGCCCCACTCACCCCATGCCCATGGCAATTATCCACCCAGTCACGGTTTTTATAAATCTACCTATCCTGGATTTCATACACGGAAAGTCATACAAAACACAAACAGCAAACAACAAACCCCTAACAACAATGATTAGACAAAGCGTTGATAAAAACCCAATAAAAAAGAGAAGACTAAAAACAAACACCTTTGCAATATGTCAAAAGGGAGATCAAATAACAAGGTAGTACATTCTTAGACATACACATCTCCATTGGGGGTGGGGGTAGCAATATGCTGAATGAAAGCAACATTTCCCAGCCTCCTTTGCAGATGGCAGTGTCCGTGTGACACAGTTCAGGCCAGTGCCACACAGACTGGCCACAGGCAGCCGGTGGGGGGAAGTTTTCGAGTGGGGTTTCCAGGAGCGTTCATTCAAAGGGGTGTAGGCTCAACTGGTTCTTTGACCTGGACCTTCTTCCTGCTTGAAATTTGGAATTGGTGACGAGACAGCCCTTCTGTGACCAGGAGGCATGCGAAGGAGGATGGCTGGAAAGAGCAAAGGAGCCTGGGTCTTAAAAGCTTGAAGGTAAACAAGCGGCCATCTAGCT